CTGAAATTCTAAAATTTTAAATTGGGTATAATTTTATATTATTATAGTGGGTTTTAGGACAGGACAAATAATTTAATTAGTTTTGAATATTTTTAAATATTATGGTATTGCTGTTTTATTAATGTGCCTGTTCACCGCCCTGAGTCCCGCAAGGGAGAAGGGCGGTATATAAATCAAATAAATTTGAATTTGAATTTGATCCATGGGTTGCATTAATATCTTGTTCTCAAGTTAGAAAACTAAGATGTAATTCCTTTTTGGATATAGAAGCCAAATATTAACTTGTATGATGTAATCTATTTTTTTTATAAGGAACCACTCAGAGTTTCATATAACCAAACAGAGCTTAGGTGAAAAAATTATGAAGTAAAAAAGCTAACAGTACACATATTTTTGTTGAGTCTTTTGAGTGTGTTAATATTCTTTAGTAAGCAGCCAGAGTACAGCACAGGTTCCCCTGTGCTTTCTGATAGTCTGCTGTAATGTGCCAGTTGATCTCAGTTCTGTAGTGTCTAAATTTAGACTGAAGTTCTACTAATGCCATTTTTGTGAAGTTGAAATTGTTCATGCATACAAGAAGCCTAACAGTTTAATTCTAGGTGTATATATGTTCTCAACAGGAAATGAATTGCGAGGATTCTAGAAAATTTAGTTCAGTTCTGTGTATTTATGCACTTGAATGGGAAAGCTACGACATATACAGTAAAGATAACCTTTACTATTAAAATAGCCTCATGAAGGTGCAAAACAGAATGCAAATTTTGAAGCAAAATTTCTGTCACAAGCCATCTGACTAATGCACTTGTTTAACTATATATGTAAGTCATAAGGAAACCATTAACTGAAGCCTATTGTTTGGGTTAATTCTACCATCTATAAAAGACATGTCAAACACAAGGCCCGGGGGCCGAATGCGGCCCGCAAAGTGGTTTCATGTGGCCCCTTGAAGCCATCCTGGAAACAATGAGGGAATGGCCCCCGCTGCCTTGGCCCTGGCCCAGGCCGGCCGGGAGCCAATGTACAATTTTGTGGTGGCCATCTATGCTGAAACGCATTCAGTCTTAGCTCCACAAGGCCGTCTGGAAACAGCGAGGAACCAGCACCTGCCATGTCGGCCCCACCCCCTGGATGCATGCTGGGGAGGTGTCACCTTTTGTGAGGAATGAAGAAATGCACCATCACCTGGAAGTGGCCAGCAAATGGCCCTCGCCTACTTCACATATCCGGCTTGATGGGCTCCAGGGGAGGGGTTTCAGCAGGCAGTGGGGTGCTCTCCTCACAGCACCAAGATGCTGAGCCGGGTGGCGTGAAACTGATGGGAAGTGCAATGCTGCCTAGTCCTCAGCCTGCCCAGTTTCAGCAGGCAGCAAGGTGCAAAGCTGGCGAGCTTCGCACTGCCCGGCTCAACCTCTCGGCACTGTGAGGAGAGCACCTCGCTGCCTGCCAAGACCAGGCAGGCTGGGGGGCATTGCGCAGGTAATGTTGACTCTCACGCTGTTCATGGCATCCCCTCCCCCAGAGCCCACCAAGCCAGATATGTGAAGTAGGTGAGGGCCATGTGCTGGCCACTTCCAGGCGATGGTGCATTTCTTCATTCCTCACGAAGGGTGACACCTCCCCAGCTGTGTTTCTTGCCTATTTTTCTCCGTCCCTCATCTCAAATATTTTCCCACCACTCTGTACTTAGGAAGGAAGAAAGGAAAGAAGGAGAGGGAGGGTCTGAGGAAAGTCCTGCCTTAGTCCTGCCCTGCTACCCTTTTACCATCCCCTTGCCCCCTCCTCCTGGCTTATCCTGGGGGTCTCCCATCCTATTGCTCAGGAACCTT